CACCAAGCCATTGGCAACTGCTGTGTTTCAAGGCCTTTTGTCCAAGCTTGGATCAATCAATCTCCTCGATCCAAGCTTGAGGGAGAGTGTTGGAATAGATGACAATCACAAGTATGGGTTGTAATTATCACTATAGCTAAGTTATGGGTTAAAGTGATGACTACAACCTTCCAGCTTGTCATCTCATTTCTTATTCAACCATACTTCTCATTTGTCAATGTTTCTTTCCCTAAAATCTAGGATTTCCTTACTTGTATATTGTTTTTTGTTTAGTCATTGTTTTGTCCGATTGTTAGGGCAGAAATCATGGGATTGTGTAGTGGCTGAAGCCTACTATTTTGTAGGCAGTTTCTTTGGCTCTTTAAAGAGCTTGGATTTCTCCTTGTAAAAGTTTATGATCAATATACAATCCTTGAAATTCAATAAAAACACTTCCAAACGAGCTCTAATTCATTAACGTGGATAATTGATCCTTTTATTGTTCCAAATATTATTTTCACAACGGCATTCATTTTCGATAGTTTGTCCTAATCACTAAGCAGCACTGAGCCGGTGAAACATATATGAACGAATGCCACATTATTATATCGGAATGGGAAGCAATGTTTCTGTTTAACGACTAGGCACAAACATTGACAGTCTCAGACAGATACGAAAATGCTAAGTTGCTATCAATGTGCCAGAATTGAAATGCAAAGCACGTGTGTTCACAAAAAGGAAAGGAGATCTTTCATGTGGATCAATGGTACGAATTCAGTTGTTAATCCTCAAAAGACAGCAGCTAAATGGAGCCCATTGGCATGTTTATAGCAGAGGCAAGTATTCCCTTTAATTTGTTCTACTTTCTTTACTCAACATTTGTGATCTGGATTCTAATTATATGGGACATTGTTATCTATCTATATATATATAGGCTTAGATGCCCTTTACCTTCTGGCTTCGGGTTTGAGGAGGGTTGACAAATGCTCAACATACCATCAACTATCGATCTGGTTGCATATGAAAAATTGATGGAAATGCTAGTACGACGTTAGTTAAAATTAACGAGAGAGACTAAGGGGTACTAGAGGAGGTTTTGATGGATGAGCGAGCTAGTATAAACAATGCGAAGGAGAATGCATAATTTTCTTTTTTTTTTCTTGAGGCCGTTTTATAGTTGGATGATTTTGAGAATTATTTGTGTTTAGTTCACTAGTATAATCACATATAGATGCAGTCAGTTAGTTAGGATTTATTTAGGGTATTGGTAGGTAGGTATGTGTTTTGTAGTGCTTTATTATCTATTGATTTATTGATTCAGAGGGAGCTGGAGAAAGGTGTTTCGGATTCATGCTGGCGTATCATGTTAAACCTTGCCGAGGAAGGATCTAACCACAGATATTATGAAGTAGACATTGGTTTTCTGCACAATGTCGGGACCAATACTCTTGTGAGCAAGTAAATTTTCGGACGAATACAATGACTCCCTATGTATTTGGCTTGTAATTACTTGGGTTACTAGGAAAAAGAGTGACGCTTGTTACCGAATAGTATTTTCTCATGATCTCTTTTTCATCTTGTCTTACTGATGCTTAAAGAAATATGGAGATCGGTATTGCAGAGAAGCTTTGATGAACTACGGAGGAGCTAAAGGCATGCTATAAAAAAACTTCTGCGAGTTGAATGGCAGATCGATGTCTTGTTTCATTCAAGCTCTGGAGTTTGGTGTTCAGGATGGACAGAAAATTCGTAACTTCCAATTTCCGTCAACGAGAGCGGAGAAATGTTTTTGATTCAAGTTTCAATGTCGTTGGAAATATCCATGAGGAGAAGGGAATTTGAGGGGGTGCTTTACGAGGGATTACTAGACTAGGAATTTGTTCGTTCGTGTTTTGATGAATAGAGTTGCTCCAAGACTCATCCGCAAGGTCTTTGCGTCTTCAATTTCAGCGGTTGAGTTATTAATAATGGTAACCTGCATTGGTAAATGACTCACATGGTAGTTTCATCGATGACATTCTGCAAATGGTGAAATCCGAGGGTGATTTTATTGTGAATTTGCTTGTATGTTCGTCAATGCGTCTTCTGGGGGTGTTTATTTTTATAGAAAACTTCATTTTAATCCTTGACAAATATGATTTTTAGATTAAAATCGTGAGTAAGATCAAAATCTAATTTTAGTTCATTGATACATTAGTAACCTCATTTATTAATTATATTTTGCTTTTTTTAATTATTTCTTTTTTTTCTTCGTAATTTTTAATATTAATTTTATTTCATTATAATTTTCTTTTTCATTTCATTTATTGTAATATATTTTGTTGTAAGCATTTAGATAAATTAATTTTTGTTATATAATATATTTCGATCTACTTTGTCTTCTTCATTTAGGTACAGTAAATTCATTATAATACATTTCGGTGCATATATTTAGGTACACATATTTCGGTACATACATTTCGATACAAACATTTAGGTACATTAATTCAATATAATACATTTCGGTACACACATTTAGGTACCTTAATTAAATATAATACATTTTGGTGCATATATTTTGGTACATATATTTCGGTACTAATATTTAAATACATTAGTTCAATATAATACATTTCGGTACACACATTTCGGTACTAACATTTAAGTACATTTAATTGAGTCTTTCAAGTTTGAAGAGTGTTAAATAAAATTAATAAATTAAAAAACTCTTTTTTGGTGAAAAAATAAATTAAAATTTGTAAATTAATAAATTTAAATATTTAATGGGAGACATTATATAAAATGCACTTTAATTATTTTGAATTAAGGACACATCAATGGATTATAATCAATATGTAATCTAACATCAGGTTTGTTTTAAATTTCAATATTCTTAAAGGATTAAAGTTAAAAAAAACCCTTTAATTTTATTGTCAAGTTATCAGAGAGACAGGCCAAAGATCCACTTCCAACAACACCGATATTGTCCTCAACTCGTTAACCACCACCTGCACAAATGCGAGACTTTATCACAAAAGACATCGGTGTTAGGTAGAGTGAGATTGAGATATTTAAACTTTTTTCTTCTTTCCCTCACCGATGTGGGATAGCCAAAACGCCCCCGCACGTAGGATCCCAGTTAGTGGGTCACACATGGTGATCACACTTCGGCAACCACGTGGAGTTAAGTCGGAACTCACCCAACAAGTGGGGCCGAAGGGGACCCACCCCAATCATTTGGTAGTACGTGGAGCCAAATCAGGACTCACCCATATCATTTGGCAGTACATGGATCCAAGTCAGGACTCACCCATCATGCGGAGCAACACGGGCCTGTCACGTGGCTTTGATACCATATTGTAATTACCATTTACCCAATCCGTCAGGTGTAAAGTTTTTCACAAAAGCCTTGATATTAATTAGAGTGGGATAATCATATCTAAACTCTTTCTTTCTTCTATCTCTCACCGATGCAGGATAGCCAACATTTATTTCCAAGCATTTTTTGAGCATATATATATTGTCATTGCCCCATTTGATTTAAAGATAGTTGCAAGTAGCTATTCTGCCAATAAAATCCCAAGTTCTTCCTTGCCTTAATATGCTTTATGAGAGAAGCTTGAAATTTTTTTTTTTGGCAACGTTGTCATGAGCATTATTGGCAGCACTATCGGTTTTTTGGAAACCATTTTAGCTATTTTAAAAACACTTCCGTAATCTCTCCTGTTTCTCAAAGCAACCCAAATTTTTAGATGACACTATTGTCAGTATTGGCAATGATCACATGAAGGTTCAAGATGAGACCGATGAGAATTCAAATGGCCATGACGATTGGAATTGTTAGAACGTCAACCACAACCATGACGGTCGGGATCATGACCCTTTCTTGATTTATAAGAACCAGGACCATGATGAGAAGGGTCAGAGTGTTCGGAGGAGGTGAGTTTGGCAGTGAGGACCACACCAGTGGTCAGCGAGAGAGAATACATCATTTTTATGAAATGTTCTTCCTGAACAAGCAAATCATAACAGTCAATAAAGGTGAGAGAGGGACGAAGATGAATGGAGGTCGTGAATGCCTTGTATTCTTGGCCAAGTCCGTTGAGAATGTATTCAATGAGTTCATCCTCATTACTGGTGGAGCCAGCAGAGGCAAGTGAATCACCAAGGCTCTTAGCATGTAAGAGATAGTGATGGAGTGTGCCGAGTCTCTCTTATTAGAGTGTGGAGTTAATCATGGACAACGTGCATGACGCGTCATACGTCATTGACCAAGGAATCAAGATGGACTTGACAGAGGAAGAGAAGTCACTTTGATCAAATTAATTACTAATTTGTCCAGAGTGTAAGCCAGATTGAGGCAGCGGATCTGTGCAAATTATCGATTATAGTAAAGGTTTTCGAAGATTATAATATAAAGGTCTCATCGGTCCTCATTTTATTTAATAGGGAACCATCATTGAACCTTTTTGAATGTGTACTGTTGCTAGCCACAGTGTCTTCTAAGCTATGGATTTTAAGAACATCCATAAAATGGGACACCATGGGAAATAATTGTTGCGATTCATGGGGGTGGCTATCATATTGGAGATACTGAAGGAGGGGGGAAGGGAGGCAGTAGGGTGGCCATGAGAGAGGTGGGAGGTTGCTGCAGTGGAGATTATACAGTTTCGATAACGAGGAGCGTTAGCTCTGATAAAAAGGCTAATAACATATAAGAAAACATAAATTGGTAGAGAGTGAGGGAGTTAGCGCAGAGAGAACTAGCGAAGAAAAGAAAGATGCCTGTATTTTGGAAGCATAACTCAATGGTTTGTGTATTCACATATACATTTTACAAGTTAACGGTGCACAACCAATTAAGCGACGTAATAAAACAACAAATATAAGTGACTCGTGTATTTGTTGAATGGTTTAGATTCATGGTACTCTTTTGAATATTGTCATTGCCCCGTTTGATTTATCTTCTCATGGCTTGCAGATGAGTAGACTTTATACCAGTTTCTGTTCCTGCCACAGGAAACCATAAACTCCTTAAACACTGTATGAAATGAGATCTCAAATTATTCCGAATTCGTACAACCAGATCTCAAGCTACATCACAAAGAAAGAGTTGAAAAAACTAATTTGACTATGGAAGTCTAACTCCATCAACATTTGGGAGAGAACTCTAATGATATGTATTCTAGTGGCTTTTCTGTGTACAAATAATGCAAAAAGACTGAAATCAATCGGCTCCACCATCAGTCACGCCTGCTAGCCAATGGAACCACCTCGGCCAGAGGAGTTGACAAGGGCGTTGGGATTGGAGACGTTCTGCAGACTGGACACGTAGGGTTCAACCGCAGCCACGGATCAATGCACTTGAGGTGGAAGAGGTGTCTACAATCTGGCAGCAGCCGCAGCATGTCGCTGTTCTTGTAGTCGGCAAGACATATGGAGCAGCAGGAGGCAGTGGAGTCTTTCATTTGGAGCTTGGCCTCGGAGTAGAGCAATTTCGGGTAGCTTTGAATCGTGTTGTCATCGAGTCCTATGTCCACAACAAAGTTTTCCACGCCGGGCGGATCCATGGCGTCGCCAGCGTTCCTGCGTGTGGGCGGGGCAGGCGGCTGCTGAGTTCTGGCGCAGAAGTAGGAGGCAAGGGTGATGGTTGTGATGAGGAGGAGGACGCCAACTGATACACCAATGCCATAACCGAAACTACCAATGTTGTTGGAACCGAGGAAGCCGCCAGAGTCGCTTGTGGCGTTCATGATCTCTCTCTCTCACTTCCTTGAGAAAAAAGGATTGAAAGGTAAGGAGGAGGAGCTGCAGATGACGATAGAAGCGGTTTTGGTTTTGTCAGCCATGGCCTCATTGACAAAAGAATTGGTTATTTGGGGAATCCAATTTTTTTGAAGTCAACTAGTAGCTACATGAGAGAGAGAGAGAGAGAGAGAGAGAGAGAGAGAGAGAGAGAAAGAGAGAGAGAGTTTTGGTGGAGTTATAATTAAGGGAAGATGCAGTTGGACCTAAGTAAAGAGAGGGGAGGTGAATGAGGGATTACCTGTGAATTTCTTTGCGTTAGATGATGGGTTATGTGTCAGCAGGTTTTGAAGGTCAACGTTTTGTGATATACTTTTTGTGGTTTAGCTGTTTGTTTCTTGTGAGTAACGTCTATCTTTCAACTTAGCATCTCTATTTGTTATATGATTAATTGGCTAATTAGTCAATTATGGGGAATTGCTAGCCAGCTACGTCCCATGTAATCCTTCATCTTCTACATTTTTCCAGCTCGTTTTCATCCTGTCATGTCATTTGACATTCAAAATTGTCTGACTTTTAGACCATCTTTTAAGAAATTACCTCAACTTAAAATCAACCAAGTAGAATTGCTGTCTAACTATTATCAAATAAACAAACAAACATAGTGCTTTGAATATCACACTATTAAAATGACTAACCGATTTGCAACATAGTTGATTCTTTACAGGAATGATCTCTTCTACTACAAATTATTTCGTTCATAATATAACATTGCAACATTAAAAAGAGAAGATAAATATGGTAATCTAACTTCTAGATAATCTTTTGAAAATTATCTCTACTCAAAATCAACTGAAATAGAATTGATTTAGCTATCTAATTGTTATCAAATAAATAAACGTGGTACTTTGAACATCAAAATACTACTAAAACGACTAACCGATTTGCAATATGGTGGATTCTTTGCAAAAATTATCTCTTTTTCCGTCATACAACATTATAAAATGAAAAAGAGAAGATAAATACGGAAAAAAAAATGGTAAATAGTAAGATGGCTAGTATTCTCCGTTAATTAATTATATCTGTCTCAACTCAACCAATCATCTCCACATCTGGTGTAATTCTCTCTTATTTTTTTTTTCCAACCTGTTTGGGCGTGCAAAGCACGTTCCATGTATTGCAAGGATAGTTGGTGTTTACTGCTATTTTATATAAAAAAGAGGTAAGCTGATTTTATGTGCCCACAGAAAAGTTGATGATACAGCTATTTGAAGATATGAACCGGAAGTTAGCATTTGTTTTTGGTAACAGCCTTATCATACAAATAATTAAATGAATAATAATTTGGGGGGTGTGTGTTGTAGACCCTTCAATGGATGTAACTGTTCATCTTTTCTTAGTTTTTAAAATTTTTGGTGATGCATTTGGTGGCTACTAGATTCTCGGTCAAATATGTAATGATTAAAATTTTACGGGTAAAAACTTTGGAGTACAGATACTTCGAGCATAACAAAATTTTCGGCAAGACCAGATTGTTTCGTTACAAGTATGGAAGGTTGCAAAACCCTGTTATATCGAATCAATTCCACAGCTTCTTTTTGGTGCTTTTTCTTGTAATTAGAAAACTTATCTTTTATAATCTCGGCAAAATGCAGGACTGGAAGGGAAAATTTCTTTCATGACTTGTCGATCTTCTAACTTTAATGTTAAGAAAAATTTGAATTCTATTCCATTTCTTCTATCAACGTACTTTCAGTATATTGAATCATTCAATCTAGTCCAAAGTTGGCCGTTATGTTATTATGAGTAGGGATGATCAATGAGTGCCCATGGATACTCCATGTGTCACCTGTTGGAAAAATTAGTTATAATATTATTGTTATTCTTCTGGGTCAAGGATTAGGATTCTTTGCCCGCTAAGTTTGTTTGTCTTGCTCATTAAGCTAGAGTTTACTTTCGTTTTATTATAGAATGGTTCGTACTATAGTTTGTGATAAATTTGTTAGTCAGGATGTAGTCTCATTGGATTAGCCTTCTTGGTAATTTGTAGTGTTTCTTTACTTTCGATTAATAAAGTATTATTTTATATTCTGTTAGTATGCTCGTCGCGTATTTGATTATAACTTCACCATTACTACACCATAATTAACACGTCTACACTTAAATGGACATCTAATTATACACATCATGTCGTATATTCGTACGGATTTTGGGCCCCCATAGTTTAAGGCCTTGGGCCTTTGCAAACAGTTCTTTGCTTTTCAGGCCCAGTTTCAATCTCTGTTTTCTCCGACAACTGGACCCACATCTCCAACTCCGCTTCCTTTCCAGCTTAACAAAAAACCCATTTTCTCTGTCTCCTCCAAGAATCCCCAATCGCTGGATCAACCATGGCGGTGATTTCTCCATGGACGACGACCTTGATGATCACGATTATGATGATAACGACGGTCATGCATGTAATCGACGGCAGCGATAACAACCCCGTGTACTCGCCGTGCGCGGACACGAAGGTGGAGAGGTCCGACGGGTTCACCTTCGGAATTGCCTTCGCCTCCAAGGAATCCTTCCAACCAAACGGCACCGTTCAGCTGTCTCCTTGCGACTCTAGGCTCTCTCTCTCCTCCAATGCCCAGATCTCCGTTTTCCGACCCAAAGTTGACGAGATCTCCCTCCTCTCCGTCAACTCCTCCTCCTTCAATCCGGTTCGTTCTCTCTCTCTCTACGATTCCTCTTATTTCTTTCAATTATTTTATATGGATTTTTACTTTTCAAGGGTTTAGCTTTAATTAGGGTTTTGATTAGCTTGTTTATTAGATTGAAATTGCATTTTTTTGGGTTAAATTTTGAATAAAGTTACAAGCTTTATTAAAATAATTACAAATTTTTTAAATTTATTACAGGCATAAATTTTTTACTAGTTTGGAATTCAACCCATTAATTCTGTGTTCTTGGTATTGAAAATATCAGGATACTTATGGGTATATGGTTGCGTTTGCTGGGCGAAAATATGCTGCAAGGTCCCTTCCTACTTTTGTTGCTAATGGCACCTACACTGTCACCAGCTTTACCCTTGTAAGTATTGACAATGGAACCGAAATCGGACTTTGAATTGGAATTCTTTCCCTGCCATTGTAATTTTCGGCGCAATGCTATATATAGCGAGTGAAATTTCGTTTATGCAGGTGCTTGAGTTCAACAGGGGCAGGCTGCAGAACTTGTACTGGAAAAAGGATGGGTGCTCTAAATGTTCAGGGAGCTCCGACTTTGTTTGCCTCAACAATCAGCACTGCGCCTTCAAGACCTCGAGCTGCAAAAACCATGGCGGCTCTGTGGACTGCAGCCTCGGAATCCAGTTGGCATTTTCCGGCACAGACAAGCACCTTTCGGTTCTTAACTCATGGTATGAAGTGGCAAACCTTAGGCAGTACTCGCTCTATGGTCTTTATTCGAATTTGAAGGACTCCCTCAGTAGCCAGTACAGCAAGATTTTCTAATTTAAACGGTTTCTGCCATTTGTCTTGTAATTTTCCTACCGCTCGTACTCACTAGGTTTCCTCATCTGTTTCGTTGCGTTTGAGGTAAATAGTTGTTGTAAATTAACTAACTTTGAGGATCTGTTTGTGATTACTGAAAAGGAGATCGATGTCTTCACATTCGTGTTCTGCTTATTTGTGACATTTAATTCGAACTCCATTTCTGCAATGTAGCATGTTGCATATTTACTTTTTAGGTTGCAATATTCGTTTCTATTAGCGGTCATTGGCGATGTCATGGAAACTAAAAATGTATAAATAAACATAAACTTCCTAAGAGATTGGTATAATTCTTCACTTTAGTACATGATAATGAAAATTGATAGAAGTGGTTTCTAAGTTTGTACATTGTAAATCATTTTAGTTTTTCAATGAAAAATATGTTGATATTCTTGTTAAATTGTCATGAAATGACTACATGACCATCTTTTTAAGGGTATTTTTGTTAAACTAAACTCCTCCACTTAACGAGGATATTCTCAAAATGATTTCCAATGGACAAACTCAATGATCACTTATATCGATTTCTATGTTAGAGACTAAAGTGAGAAGTTATGCAAATCTCAACGATTAGTTTGGCTAAAATGTCACTCCCAGAATACTAAAACCTGGAAAGAAAGTAAACGGGAAAAGGAGAGTACAACAAAATTCAAAGTGCAGGCCCAAGGATTGCGCTTGGCCTTTCAGAAACAAAAAATTGGAAAACTTTAAGAGGGTTTTTGTCTGGTTTCAGTACCACGTGGTATTTAGTTTTACGAGTATTTTAATTATTAAATTTTAAATTTTTATCTTATCTTATTTATTTATCATATCCTTCAATGCAACCTATCATTGAAGAAAAATTGAACTTAAAAGATTGATTTTTAAAGACGGGGGCCGTAATTAAAACTACATTGACATTTGGTAGGCAGAACGGGGAGTTTGGGAAAGATAGTAAGTACTTCTTATATCAACTGTAGGCTTCCGTGCTTTTTACTTTTTTTTGGTACCATCCCATTCCTCTATGCCATTACTGCATTCACTCTATCCATCTAACAAGCTCTCTCTCCGGCAGGAGACAGGAGTTTTGAAGGGAACTACTAAAGGTGTGTATAAGCCCTACATAGCCGTAATTAAAACTACATTGACATTGATTTAGTTTCGTTTGAGGAACCTTTGGATATCATTACGGACATCCTCATCCAACACTCCAACATGTAATTGAGTCATCTGATAATAAACATGTGCAAGAATAATGTTTCAAATTTGTGGAATTTTATGGATAATTAAACTAGAAAATCAAGATCTTGAAATGATAAGAGTTCCAACGAATAATAAAGGAGTGTAAGGACATAACTGGTCACTCCATTTAGATTATTACTCATTAGAATTATAAAGTTGCTTCCTGAAATGTCAGAAATAGAGTGCAAATAAGAAAATATTGTCGTGATATTAATCATAACATATGTGTGATTGTGTAAATTATTAATAGATTGTATTTCATATCCCTTTATGATTGTATTACTTGCAAGGCAATCCATTTTATATAAGTAAAGGCACTAGATCTGAGGAATATCATACACATAATTCTTCACGCCTTTCTTCATCTCTGTGCCGCAACCTCTCTCTACCTTCATAAAATAGGTGACAACAAAGGTTGCATTATTACACTCATTATCACACTTTTTGGGTCGAAGATGTCATAATTTGAGAATTCCAACGTAATTCATAGACTTTCTTGGTTCAACCAGTGAGAGTCTTCGGGACCAAACCTCAGAGATGCATTCGAGTATTAGCTAAAGTCTCCACATGAAAATTGATGGTGTGATCGAGGTCGTTGACACAGTACACGGCGTGGAGAAAACGGTGCTTGTAAAAAACCACCTTTACCCCAACATAGTTTTAAAAGCACAACAAAAGATAATAAATTATCGATAACACCCCTTACATATTCTACTTAACAAAAGACCAAATATAACTTTATAACTCTATAGAATTGTGACATGAAAAAATATATGTATTTAGCATAAGAAGTAAATTGAGAGCAGAAAGTTAAAATAGACGGTTGAAATAGAAGAGTCGTAAAGCATCTTGAATTGCGAATACATTTAACAATAAGAAAGGGTAATTACTTGGTATTAGTTTTCTCCAACATCTTAATATTTGCAAATTTATTTGAATTTGTGATAAAATCATTACTTGTTACATAATTCTCCAGAGTTGATATTGAAGTATTTAACTTTCAATCTGATTTTCATGATAAATATGTGCGGTTGATCATCTCATTTTCATGATAATATGGATTTAGAATGTGTGATGGGTATGCATGTGTGAGAGATTGAGAGCAACGAGATTACAACATAATTTAAAGCACATTGTCCGTAATTTTTTGGATTGGATAACGTCGACAGTACTGTACTATATTCCATTATGCATAGATTATATATGTCATGCAAGAAACTCACTTGAAATAAGAACTTGTGTGTAAAATTATACTAGTTTGCTTTGTGCAGTATGAAAAAATTATTTATGTTGGCGACGTTACATTTATATACACTAGCATATTAGTCTTTTTTGAGTTGGCCGTCTTACGAGTTGGCGGTGTTTATTACATTTATACTAAAATGTTACTCTCTTGAGTTGGTTGATTACATTTATAAATACTTTGGTGAAGCTACATTTACAATAGAACATTACCCTCTTTTGAAATGATAGTGCTATATTTACACTAAAACATTACTCTCTTTTGAATTGGTGGTCCTACATATTTATGCTAAAACATAACAAGTACAAGAAAACTAGGCTTATGTGGTGACAAGACATTCTATGGACACATAAGTTAACCACATTCAATAGGAGAAGAACACGTGAACTATATGCTCAAGATAATAGTTTTACCCTTGACAACATGAGTAGACCACAAAATTACTCTAAGGGAATAAGATGTAGTTTGCCCGAAGGTGATTGAGCTTTTATGCCATTAGTTGACCATAGGCTCTCCGAGCACCCATAATATGTTCTGCCATCGGGTCATACTCGGTCAAATGATGGCAGGGTACCGGCTCTCTGCAGTCTCCCATTAGGTGTCTGGTATGCCTACACTTTTACTAATAGAGGGATCTTCAGGAATACTATCTAGCAGGATTATGGAGGCTAGCATGCATCATTAAGGACTGCCTAGTTATAGTTTCCCCTCCCAGCTACCTGCTATGGATTCTTCCTTACAAATAACAAAGTGAATTAGAGTAAACGGTAACGTTGTCACATCCCGACCCGGGGCGGATCACTTCCCGGGCTCGCTTCCACTACCGTAACACGATATTGTCCGCTTTGGGCTTACCATTCCCTCACGGTTTTGTTTTTGGGAACTCACGAGCAACTTCCCAGAGGGTCACCCATCCTGGGAGTGCTCTAGCCCTCTTCTCGCTTAACTTCGGAGTTCCTATGGAACCCGAAGCCAGTGAGCTCCCAAAAGGCCTCGTGCTAGGTAGAGATAGGAATATACATTTAAGGATCGCTCCCCTGGGCGATGTGGGATGTCACAATCCACCCCCCTTAGGGGCCCGACGTCCTCGTCGGCACATTTCCGGCCAGGGATAGGCTCTAATACCAATGTCACATCCCGACCCGGGGCGGATCACTTCCCGGGCCCGCTTCCACTACCGTAACACGATATTGTCCTCTTTGGGCTTACTATTCCCTCACGGTTTTGTTTTTGGGAACTCACGAGCAACTTCCCAGAGGATCACCCATCCTGGGAGTGCTCTAGCCCTCTTCTCGCTTAACTTCGGAGTTCCTATGGAACCCGAAGCCAGTGAGCTCCCAAAAGGCCTCGTGCTAGGTAGAGATGGGAATATACATTTAAGGATCGCTCCCCTGGGCGATGTGGGATGTCACAAACGTTAACCCCCACTTACTACTCAGAACCCTCTCAAATTCTCTTTTCTCTCTACTACTTTTCTGACTTCAACATTAGAGGCCTTTTGACGGACGCCCTTTCCCCTTTTTTCTGGGTGTCCATCAATTAATTAGCTAACCATGGTCGTTCTCTTGTAGGTGGAATTTTGTCAAATTAGCCATGTACGAAATTTTGCATCCACGCATTCATCACGAAAATATGAAAACTTGTCACATTTGACTATATGTGACAAAATTATGTGTCACTGCTTACGCACCTATACATCATCACCTATAGCACGCATGACGAATTTTACATTTGTCACGAATTTTTAGTATAGGTAACTCCGCTTTCTTCACTTGGTAACTTTATGTGTGACAGAGTATGGGGTCACAAAATACAAAAGTATGTGACCTATTTCTTTCATCTTGTATTAGATTAATAAGTGATGATTTTTTCCTCACCCAATATGATCAAGAATGATATAATTTACAAAGTCGAATCATTGACACAACTCTTATGTGACAATTTCTAAAAATGCCTCACATATTTTACCTGTGACGAATTTTCAAGCACTACAACCAATTCTGTCACCTAATTCATGTTTTCTTTGGAGTTGACGGTGTTACGTTGATACTTAAAAATTACCTAAGCAGTGCTGCATTTACACTAAAATATTACTCTTTAAGTTGGTGGTGTTACATTTGCTCTCTTTTTTTTTTTTTTTTTCTTTTTTTCTGGTGGCATTTATTTTCAATTGGTGGCTCTACATTTATCGCTAACATTTACTATTTTTTGTTGGTAACGCTACCTTTGCTATTCTTCGGTTGTTTTAGATGGAAATGTTGGAAATTTGCTCAAACTCGTAAAAATTTAAAATGAAACTATAATGAATGTCAAACACTAATTTAAATAAAATATAAGAGTTTTTCCGACATTTAATCGATACGTAAAAAATATCAACAAAATTTGTCGATTTTAACCGAAATTTAAGAGTTTCCCTAATATGGAGTGAAGTTTAGACATCAACCCCCCCTCTCCATATCTTTCTCTGATTTTTCTGATATTTCCACGGAAATATTGACCATATCGAAGAAATTTTAGACATCGGATGGAGGTAAAAGAAAAAATTGAGACACAATTGAAAGCAAGAGAAACAACATTTAATTCTAAAATTAAGTAAAAAATAATCTTATAAATAAGAGATAACATTTATCATAATTTAATAAAAAGTAATAAAAATAAATTGACGTGGATAATCAATAGACCTAACCCAACAAAGCAGACTAAAC